TGTTAGGAACATGCAGTCAAAAACGCCAAAGAAGTCAATAATCTGGAAGGATTTTCAACACTGTGCAAAAGATGCTCCCTTGGCTGAGTGCTTCCACTGCAAAAAGGTTCCCAAGTATGAGCAGGACTTGGGTCACCCCTCCAATAGCAGCTGGCTCAGCTACCTAAAGACTCAGCATAGGGTATTGCTGCTGACAAATGAAGTGGGCACTGTAGGGACAAGTGGGTTTCTTTGCTGTGAAGGGTAAGAGTAATTAGGGCAGAGCTTGAGCCACCAGCCTGGGAAAGCAGGGTGGCAGATGGGTAAACAGTAAGAGGTGGGAGCAAGTGCCAGACCCACGTATCATGAACAAGTTCAAGGCTATCCTGGAGGAGCTTGAATGGGTGATAGGAAAAGGCCTTCCGCAAATATAAAAATGCCAAGATTTCTCATCACGTAGGGGAGATGATAGCCTTGGGTGATCAGCCATTCTCACTGGTGGCTCCATAGGTTTGTACCAGAACTGGTGCCCTCTTATCTGTTGTTATCCCAATTGACTTTCAGTCACAGGGTGGTGTCGGATTTATATTGGTGTGTCAAGCAATTGGTTGGCCAGGGCACAGGTGATACATTTTATAAGTTACATCTGGGGCAGCCAGGGTGCAAAACATGCCTATCTCTTCCTGACAGGACAGTGAGGATCCTCAGTATAATTGACAAGGGCTCTAATACTGAATCCAAATTTAGGTGCTTCTGACAAAACATGCTTATTTCTTCCTGACAGGACACTGAGGATCCTCAGTATAATTGACAAGAGTTGTAATACTGAATCCAAATTTAGGTGCTTCTGCACATCTCTAGTTCATACAGTGGTCTGCCATCTTCTTATAAGGAGCTTACATACGATAACAATCCTCCTCCTCCATGTGCTCCCCTAAAATCGGCACACTGCTTGTGGTACTGGATGCAATATACGTATAACCATCATGGTCAGTAGTCACAGATAGCCTTATCCTCCGTGAATCCATCCAACCCACTTTTAAATTTGTCTAAGGTTGGCCAGCCAGGACTGCATCTTGTGTTACGCAAACTATCAGCCTGATCAAGAGCTACTTCCTGTTATCTGTGCTGGTTCTCTCACCATTCAACTTCAGTGGCTTATTTTGGGGACAGAAACAGAAATTAGAAACAGTCTGTAGAAAAGGGAAAGTATTACTAATATGAACACATGAGCATCACAGTAGGAACTTCACTCTCCTCTGGGATTACCCAAATCAGGCTGCTTTGTCTTCAAGGTTTCTTTGAAATCTCATTTCAGAAATGAAAGTCAAGAGAGAGTCTATCACCGTTCTGCAACATCCAGCTATAACTATGGGTTATCTCTGATGTTTATTTTTGACCAAGGTTTTAGTAATTCTGTACAACATGCACAGTTTTAAACACTTATATTTTATCTCCCCTTTACTTGACTATTTTTTTTCCTGGAAATCTGAACAGCCATCCACACTGCGGTCTTTTCTCCACATAGGAGTTGCTCTAGCCACTTCAGCATTTGGGCTACCATTTTATTCATCCTTCCCAACTCTGCAATATCTTTTCTTGTGGCAGTGATCAGAACTGTACACAGTATTATTCCATGTGTGGTCACATGACTCATTTGCATAAGAACAGTATGACAGGCAGTGCTTTATTTTTGATTCTTTTTGTAACTATAAATATAATAGTTTATCTTATTTACAGCAACCGTGAGGCATTCATTGTAGCTCCCACATTTTCCCCCCTTGTTTAGTCACTGCCACCTCGGATTGCATCAGTGTATGTACAGAACTAGCATTTGGGGATCAATATTCATCATTTTACTTTCACTTATATGGAATTTTATTCAACATTTAAATACCCATTTCCCCAGTTTAGAGAGATCCTTCGAGAGCTCTTTCCAATCTATTTTTCTTCTATATAAATAATTTGTGTTGTCAACAAACGTGGCCACCTCACTCCTAAACTCTAATTAATGAGGATGTTATAAAGCACTGATTCTAGTATATAGCTGGGTGAGTGGCACTGTTTACAGCTCTCTGTTGGATGTAGCAACCATTTATTCCTTCTCTCTATTGCCTGTTCTATAAGCTGTTATCAGCCCATAATTTATCTCTCTCTTTTCATTTCGTGATTGTTAAGTTGCTGAGGAATCTTTGGGACCTTTTGGACCTTGCCAAAAGTATTCTGAAGACAAAGTATCTACCAGATCACCTGTGTCTACACATGCACTGATTCACTGAAATACCTTTAAAAATCATAAGAGAAAACTTACATTTATAGAAGCCATACCAATTCTTCTTCAACAGGGCTTGCCTTTCTATAGGCTTGCCAGTTTTTTCTTAAATAACACTGCTCACCATTTATACAGCACAGATGTTAAGAATGCCTTGCAATTTATGTATCTCTTTTTAAAAAATTGTTGTTATATAGGGCACAGTCCCATTCTCTGGTACAGAGACTGATACCGGAGATGCATTACCTACTTCTCATAAAAAGCATTGTCACATTCAAGTTGTTTGAGAAATTTCAGATGCATACCATTTGAACTGGTGGTCTGCTTAACTTTAATTTGTCAAGAAGAACTAGGAATTCCTCTTATGTTGTCATTCTTTACCTCAGCCTGTCAGATTCCCTTCCCTGAAAACATCAGTTCTGTACTGTCTGGAGTAAAAGCAAATGAAAAGTGTTCACTTAGCTCCTCTGCAATCTCCTTATCTTCTCGTAATACTCTGTTGTCCTTCAGTGTTCCAGCTTTATTTCTAGATGGTGCCTCTACCTCACAGCACCTGAAGAGAATTCTTAGAGAATTCTTTACTGGTCTCAAAACTATTAGTAAGAAGCTTCTCTAAATCCGTTCTCACATCCCTTATTGTGTACCGGCATTTCCTTTGTTTATTATCTTTGCCATTCTCTTCATTTTAAATCTCTCCATTAATGTTCCTTGAACTGTTTATTCTCCACCATAGTGACCTCCTGGCCTTTGTACTATCCTTTCTGATCTGTGCTACACATCCTGGGCTACGGTTGTGGTATTTTTGAATAAACAACAATGTTATGGGAACCTCATTGATTCAGCTCCTACTGTTGCTACTAGAGCTACCATGTTGACTACAGGCCCTACACACCAACAGTTATGCCATTCAGCCATAGTAAGAGGTAGACAAACAGCTGAACAGCAACAAACTGACTGCTTTCAGCTGCTCACTTCAGTCTGAGAGCCAAGTATTCAAAGTTGTAAGCATGAAGATTGGCTATAGAAGGGCCCCCTGGACACAGGCATTCAGTCACACTGCCCTATTTGCCCCAGGGTAGGTGAACTCAGGAGAATGAGTTATGGTTATTACTATGGAACCAGCTTGACACCTGCACCTCCCAACACCCCAGTCTTCCTGGACTTATCAGTGTTTCCAGGGAGCCCCCAAATCCACAAGCCTAAGCATGTTCAACCAGAACAACCACCTTGCAAGGTAAAGCTGCTGCTACACCCAAACAGAACCAAACATGCCTGATACGTAGTCAGAGCCAACGAATGGATTTTGTACCAAATACCTTCTGCGCCAAAAACCAGGCTGTTGGTTGGAGAATACTTTGCATTTTATTAAAAAGAAATAAAAAGACAAAAAACCAAAAAGTTGAAAAGGTACTTAAAGCAAAAAAGTACTAATGAGACAAAGCTAAGGCAATTAAGAAGACACATGAAATGTAAGGAAGCTATTCCCCTCAATACTCACAGACTAGCATAGACATCAGCATGGTTTTGAGGGATGCACAAAGTGCATTCCCCACAGCAGGACAGCAGCCAAACGCAAAACCTTTATGAACAACACTAAACTAACTAAAAGTAACTTTATATATCAATCTTCTTGTTCTAAATCCTTCCAAGATAACGAGCAATCAGGTGTCTCTTCCTCAAATGTCTGAGAAGGCAAGAGCATTTCAGGTTCCCCTTCCCTGGTTGAAATAATTTTTCCAGTTAACATTGCTTCAGGGGACTAGCTAGACATGGCCTTGCAGACCTATCTCAGGAGATATACTGCAGGTGTCACCCTTGTCAGCAAGCAAAAGCCTGATCCTTTCTGTTCTAGTCACTTTCCCGGATACAGATAGACCGACCTGATTTTTCAAGCTGTATCCAAAGTTTCATGTTCCCTACTCTCTCGGTTTCTTCACAGTAAGGCTGCTACATTTTCTAGTAGTGGGCCAGCTGGTAAACTCAGCTACCGAGTCTTCCAGAATCATTTAAAATACACTCTTTATTAAAATGGGTTACTAACCAAGGCCTTAACGTGTTGAAACATTTCAAATAGATTCACTCACAAAACGGAAAGAATCCCATTAGGCAGGACCATATCCCTAGCCCCAAGTAGCAGATGGATAGAGATCACGGAGTTTGAAACAATGGCTTATCTAAGGTCAGCTGGAGAATTCATGGCAACAGCTTCATTTGAACTAGGCCCTGCCAGTTGGAAATTGGGGAATAGAAACCGTATTATGCCAGCGTTCTGGCTTAATATCTAGCCTAACATTTGTCCATAGACATAAATGGTCCAGGGGCAGTTGAAGAGCATTTATTTCTGGTTTGCCTATGTAACAGAAAAAAAAGCAATGTTAGGTTTGCAAAGCCATTCAATGTTCTATCATAATCCAGCAGGTATTTTCATGTTCCTTTTATACAAATACCTTTCATAGGATGATGCCTTACCTTTCACATGACTTCTCCCATCCTCCACTAGGCCCTGCCAGTTGGAAATTGGGGAATAGAAACCGTATTATGCCAGCGTTCTGGCTTAATATCTAGCCTAACATTTGTCCATAGACATAAATGGTCCAGGGGCAGTTGGAGAGCATTTATTTCTGGTTTGCCTATGTAACAGAAAAAAAGCACTGTTAGGTTTGCAAAGCCATTCAACGTTCTATCATGATCCAGCAGGTATTTTCATGTTCCTTTTTGTACAAATACCTTTCATAGGATGATGCCTTACCTTTCACATGACTTCTCCCATCCTCCAGCAGCGGTATTACTATAGTGCTGTTCACATTCCCTGGTGATCTCACAGCTGTGTAGACCACAGGTACCGACTGTACCACCACTGGAATGCGGTGTACATGACTCATTTTGTTGGTCTGTAGGTTCATGGGGCTGGAAGGAGGTACTGGATGGATTACGTGCAAAAACTGCTGCCCTCCGACACCTGACGCAGATGCTACAAGTGGGCCTGGAGTTAATACTGATGGTGCAGATGCTGCTGAAGATACGGACGTTATTACCGTTGGTGATGAAGCTGGTCGACTAGAAGATGTTGAAGTAGAAGAAGGAGAAGACGCGGATGCCGTGATGGATACTGGGGAGGATGAAGCAGCAACAGGGGATGATCGGGCTTTGTTTATTGACAAGTCCACTGGCTCAGTTTGTGTTTGGAAATGGTCTGTGGGCAAGGAGTCTTCTTCTGGATCTGCCTTCATGCTGTTCAGCAAGAGGGGTACAGCTTCCATATCTGGGTAACTGTGAGCGTTTGGAGACTGTGGGGAAAAGAGAAGGAAAACAAGTGATTACCATCTGGGAGCTGTAAAATCATAATAGACAATTAGGAATTTAAATATCTTCACTAGGACAAGAGGCAGACTGGCAAGGAAAGCAGATTAACTCAAGGAGGCCAAGTATAACTGACAAGAGTGGCAGAGTGAAAGCCTGGGCTCACAGACTCTGGAGGGTTCACCAGGGAAGGATGAGTTGCTGGCATCCCTTGTTCTGTTCCCACAACATTTTTAGTAGGCCAATGGGCCAGCAGTGCTCAGTCATGTATGAAATAAGATGCCCAGTAAGGCTACAGCTGCCCAGAATCTCACCCCCTCCCCTGACCATGTATTCCAGTCTGGGAAGTAAACGGAGTACCACCAGCTCATCTTATTAGTAAACATGTTGAAAACAAAATAACAAATGATGCCTTTCCTTCTTCTGCTTACTTATTGGCAACCAGGACAGGACAGGAAAAAGGGTGTTCCAACCCTGCCCATGACTAATTCAAAGAGAATACTGACCCTGACCTCAACTCAGAAACCATTATCTACATTTCCAAGTTGGATTTTATCTTACATATTTAAGGAATAAGGCACAGATGAACCTGCCCTTTGCTTGTCCTGACCAGCTTGTTGTTAACAACTCTGACATGTTGTTATCAAAAAATTACCAGAAAGTCTTCATTATCCAGATCCTTTCATGATACTCCATATGAACACATGAACCTAACTTTACTGGCATGACACTCATTCTCATGAATCTCTTGTGAACATTTCAAACGAACTAAATCATGGTCAGCTTATTTGTCAGGAATTTTTTCTCTATCTAGAAATTCCAACAAGGTCATCAATAAAGGAAGACATTGCTTTCTTGTGCTGTCTTTCCATAGAAGGGTGCTATTTTAAAAGTGATGGCATTTTTGTTGCTGCAGTGCAAATCCGCAGGCAGGGCCCTGCTGCTCAACTGTACAGCTCAAATGCACTCAAAGTCTTCTATATCTACTTCTATCCCACTGAACAGCTGATTGATGTCATTTTTACCCCATCTATATATCATGTGCCAAGATGAATCGCTCCCTCACATTCGGTGGAAGGCCAGACTCCTTTTTTTTAAAAAAATTGTTATTCAACATTATTCAACCCTTGGCAATTGTTTTGCAAGTACAAAAGACATTCTGGAAAAAATAAATGTTTTCATGAGAGGAAAACACAAGTTAAACTACCCATCACAACCCACAGCTCCACAGATCAGATCATCTCCCTGATCCAATACCTACATGATGTCCTAAAGTTAATGAAGATAAATGTGAGGCAGAAAATAGTTTACAGTGGAATTGGAAGTGGTAAGATACATGCATTCTTACTTACATTGCTCCCTCACCAACCTATTTTACTATCATCTCCGGTCAAGCAGGAGTGCTTTAAAAATCTAAAAAAACATGTTTGATTAAAGATGAAAGAAGCAAAAAGAATTGAATACATATAATGGGGCAGGAAACTTTTATGGCTGTCTTACAACTCCCAAGAGGTTAACTAGCATAACCAAAAGTAAGGAACCAAGGGAGCTGGTAGTCCAAAACAACCAGAGGGCCAAAATTCCCCATCCCTGGTGTGAGGAATGATTCTCCCCATAGCAACGATTCCATGCCACACGCTTCTTTTGTACTGTTTTCTGATACACATCCCTGGCAAATCAGTGTTCCTGTTTTGACTTTGAGGAGATCTTGGAATGCATTTCTAAAGAGTGGGCAAAAATCTCTTGCACAGCTCAGTTCTATGCCTGTGGTAGCCAAGGTGGAAATGCTATCCACAAAACACTTCTGCCAGTGCACTAGTCACTGGGCACAATGGGAATCATGTGACTGAGTGAGCCATTGAATCATGCAATTCCAAGTTGCCCATGATAATACCTGGCACACTTACAAGGATGTAACTTTGCATTATGCCTCTACAAACAGGATTTTGCCCAGCATTGATACAGCAGGCATGCTTCACTTTTCAGTCTCCTTCTATACATCAACCGGGGAGGGGAGGGGGACACACCAGCTGACCATAACTAGGTATCAGCAATGGATGCAATTACTAGGGATGTTTTTTGGGGGAGGGGGGTACTTCTTGGACTTGACCAGGATCCATGAGACAGAATTCTGGGAGGGGAGAGGAGAAAGAAGGCAGCAAAAGAGAGGTTTTCCCACTACCAATGCCTGTCTGGGCTGGGAAGCAGAAGGGGACACATACACACACCAGTGGCACTTCTTGCTGGGAGTCACCCTTGTGGCCCATTAGACTCTCTACGGGACGTTTTCCAATTGTTATTTTTTGGTAAGGAGGCTCTTCATCACAAAACATGATATTGAGACATCTCTGCCTTTCCTAACTAGTCCTAGAAACAGAGGCAAATTTATGACATTTTTCTGCTCTCCTGGGTATGGCAAATCCTAAGTAGAAGAGGAAAAGCCCAAGATTCATAAATTATCATTACTGGGTCAAAAAATTAAGATGAGCATATCAACCATATTTGTAACTAGACAGATTTAATTCTGATCCCCCAGAGACAAAGCTTCAGCTACTCCTCATGTTGACATATGCTTCTTATGCCCAAATTACTTTGCAGTGCAAATTAGTACTGTCAAGCCTGAATATATTACAAATTAAAGGGGAGAAATTTATACTTCTTTCTTTCTACACAGAAAATAATATCTTTTCTTTGAGTATACACATAATTGCATATTATAGACTTGCAATTTTAATGGGATAAAACCGAATGCTGTGAAATGCAGCTGTTTTACTAAAATGATTTAGTGTCTCATGAATTGGCTTCAATAAATCTAGCTCTTTATGACCCAGAGAGATATAACAAGATTATATTCAAAGAAAAGCAGCAAGGAAAGGCAGAGAAAGCAAGCTTCTCTTCAGCATTATAATATGGTTGTCTGTGGGCCTATTGACCTGCTACTTTCTGTGGGGAAATTACCACTTGCTGTGAATTTCTTCTTCTTCAAGAAGAGAACATAATGGATCATGTTCAACTGCAGGTTACATCAAGCAAAGAGTTTTTCTTCAAGTCAACTACTGAACACGGTGGACACATTCATATTTTGTTTTATGCATTTAGCAGTGCAGTCCTATTGAGATCTACTTAGAATCAAAGACCACAGAGTTCAGTAGGACCTTGTACCAGATGAGTATAGAACTGTAACAACCATCTTCTGGGTTTCATCACAGAGATCTTAGAGAAACCACTCATCTTCAAAATTGAGTCTTTCATTAAGCATCCACTACAGAAGGTCTGTACTTAAAAGCAATTGACCCAATCAATTAAGCTAGCAATTACAAAGTTGTAAATTTGTTCCTTTTGCCATCATTAGCTGAAGTGGCATTCAGAGAACAACAATGTAGCATTCTGCCAAGTATTCTGCAACTGGACTTTCTCTCTACAAAGCTTAATGAATCACCAGCGCTTAGCTTACAAAACACTCAAAATGATTCAATGCTGCTGTGTGTCCTTTTTCTGCCTCGGCTGAAGTTGTTGCTGCCGGCTCACTATGCCACCTTTCCTATTTTGTTTGTCATTGCCTCTTTTTAATCAAGCTCACCATGAAGAACCATGTTATTATGTTTACTGGTATTGATCACTGTTGGAGAAAAATAACAACCTTGCATGCTTACTTACTATTTACTTTCAGTGTGAGAAATTCTTTAGGAGCCAGAGAAATTTTCCTGGGCTAAGGTGACTGCTTACTTTTTTACTAACCTATTAGCAAAAATCGATTTTCCTTCTTGCTGCCCATCTCTGCTTCCCTTGTTTGTTTGTTTTTTCTCTTCTTTCCTGACCTCTGAGGAGTGCAGACAAGAAACCATGCTGCTCCTGACCATGCGGCAGCCATGGTGAGCTGAGCCTCTCACATGGTCCAAACTGCAAATCCTTTCTTTAATTCTTTTACTCTTCTGATTGTAGCTCAAGATCAACTCTAAATAAAGATTTTTCCTTCCATTTTCCAACTTAAGCTAGCTGTAAAGTGACTTCTTACATACAAGGGGGCTGGGTTGGAAGTTGGGGTTTTTGCTGCACTTCTGTTGGGAATATATAAGTGAGAAACCCAACAAGTATGTATGTATATACAAGCAATTTTTTCATTGTGTAATTTATGTATTGGAACTTATATAATCAATCCTTCATGCTTTCCCCAGAACTGGCTGATTAATTCTGGTACTTTGTATCCTACTAACAAAAGGAAAGAACCAAATTCCAAAAATCGACAGCAGTCACATCATACATAAAACTGTGATGTAATTGTCAGCACACCAAAGGTTGCTACAGTAAATCAGATTAATAGTGGCACATGAATTAAAATGAGAGAACGATCAGCAAGGCAAAGAGAAGAAACGAACTTTGTTCTGTGATAAACAGCAACCATCAAAACAGTATCTTTGCAAAAAAATTAGAACCAAATGGAGGTGCTTTTCAAGATGAAAACACATAGAAAACTGTGAAAATAATTGCAACCCAATGCTGTAAGAAATTTCTCGCAGTTATTTTACACAATTGTTTAGGTTGGTTGTGTAACTATATCTTGAGTGTTTTGGTAAATAATGCAAAATGATAACTTTTCATAAGGTTTCATTGTCTTAAGATGATGCTTGTAATTTACAGTGGGTTTTATCTAATGATTAAACAACCAAGGCTTTAGTTGATCGGTTAGAGGGGAGACTCTTTTTTTTTTTTTTTTGAGATTTGAGAACTAATAGAATCTTTTTAAATTTATTGCAACTATCTTAACATTCCATTAATGTAATGGAGATAATCTCTTTAAAAAAACTTCTTTGAAAACAAAAGAAAGAAAGAAAAAGGATCCTATAATGTGTTTCTGATAATATGAAATGTATTTAAATTTATATTGCTTCTGAATCTAATTCAGAAACCCACACTAAGAAGCATAAATGCAGAATATCTTTTTAAATTTATTGCAACTATCTTAACATTCCATTAATGTAATGGAGAT